CCCTCCGGGCGGGTCGCTGCCGCGGTTGCTGCTGCGGCGGTGGCGGCGGCTACCACCTCCATCTTCGTCGGAAGAGGAGGAAGAGGATGAGGAATAGGCCTTGTTGCCGCCGCCGCCGCCGCCGCCGCCGTTGTTCTTCTCCTCGTGAACCGGCGGCGGCCCCGACTTCAAAGACGACGACGACGACACCGACGCCAGAGGTTCCATCACCGCAGTCCCCCGCCGAGAGGAGATCGGTGTCTCCAGCGACAGGAAGGCTCCGGGCGTGGCGCAGGACTCCAGCGTGGGGTAGGTTACCCCCGTCCTGTCGTCGCCGCCGTCTCCGCGGACGGCGGCGGCGGGGGAGGCGGCGACTTTGGCTTCTTCGCCCGTCGTCGCCGCGGCAACACCAGCAGCAGCAGCAGCAGCAGTATCGTCATCATCCGTGGTTTTCCCGTGTCCCTCGTCTCGCCGTTCCCTCTGCTGCCGCTGCAGCTGCCACTGCTGCTGCTGCTGCAACTGCTGGTCCTCCCCGACCGGGGGCCGTGAGAGCGACCGGAGGACGACGCGGTCCCGAAGGGCGCGGCGCCTTCTTGCGAAGTCTCCGAGGCGGGCGTGAATCTTGTCCACCGTGTACATCTGCACCGCAGCATCATCGTTGGGTGGGGTGAACAAACAACACAAAAACACAAAACGACGTTTTCGGTTGGCACAAAAGCCGTGCGTGCACGCATTGGATTCGAAAGGCGTCGGTCGGGGATAGCGAGTGAAGAATTCCCATCACAAACACAGAACTGGCGATGTCGGCCTGTATCGGTCTCTCTTGAAGGGGGCTACGCCAAATCACTTAGTGAAAGATTCTTGAGAGTCCAAAAAAGCACCTTGAGATCCATCGCGCAGTGTGCGGCGAGACTCCCCCCCATCGAGTGCCCGGTCACGTAGACCTGTATAACACCGGGAGCGTTCCGCTCGCTCAGCAGCCAACCGACCACGACCTTGCGGACGGCCACGTGCACCTCTTCCCGCACCGCCTGGCAAGGCACCACGGACAGCAGTCAGTCGACGAGCAGCAGCGCCAGCAGCACCACCACCACCACCACCACCGGTGAGATGTAAGCCAAAAAACGATGGAAAAGCGTGTCGTGTGAGATGTGTGTGGTCCGTACCCAATATCGACGGAAAACGTGTGTGTCGTCTGACGACATATGTCTCGACCGACCGCACCAACAACAATGCAAAATTGTGTCCAATGAAATGTGTCTCCCTTCCGTCCTGGGACACACGCGCGGGGCGTGACAGATAGATAGAAAGGCGTTCGCGGTGTGGGTGTTCGTGTATGTGTACATGGAATCGGGGACGGGATCGCGCGCGAGTTTGCGACCTTCAGTGCTGGCTGAGGCGGGTCCAGTCTCATTGGCGTTGTTATTGTTGGGGGTATATCGTGGGGAAACGATGCCCCCCCCCCCCCCTATTCAGGAGATTGCGCAATTGCAACAGCCAAGACGGGAGAACGACAGCAGGAAAAAAAAGCAAACACACACGCTCAACGCACCCACATACGACGTACCTGACTCTGCACGCAGAAATATATGCCAATACACACAACACAACAGCTTTCCTTCTTCATTCTACGTGCCGCGTTCGGCTTTAAACTTTTACTAGATAGCAGCATCGCTTCTCACAAAAAGAAAAGAAAAAAAAAAGCAACACCCACCTCGTAAGAGTCCCAGATTCCGGTGTGCACCCTCCCCCCCAGGCACTTGTTCAACACTGGGGCCCGGCTGAGCCCGGTCCCGTGAGCCTGCCTATTGTCAGCAAACTCTCGCCCCCCCGTTACCCCCTCCTCTGCGTCTCTCAAGGAGTCGCCTGCCTGTACTGGTTCTGCGGCCGCGGCAGGCAATGCGTCCTGGTGGTTCTCAAAAATCGAAAAACGAGAAGAAAAAAGGGGCATAAGGGTGGATGAAACAAAAGACACGGAACGTCGTGGTTTTGTCAGAGACTGCAGCGCGTTTCGCAGCAGCAGCAGCAGCAAGCTAGCGAGTGACCGAGGGTCTCCCCATTACTGCTAGTATAGTGGTAACCATAGCTGACAAGCGACGCGATTAAAGGTCAACCGCACCTGAAAATGCCCAAAAATCCGTCTTCAACCCCCCACAACAAAAAAAACATGCGCGAGACTAACCTCCTCCTCCTCGTGCCCAACGCCCACCTCTTCTACCAAGCCCAGACCTACGAAAACAAAACGTTTGGTTCACCTTAGCTCCGCTGTTCTCCACCTCCCTTCTCCCTCCGCCCGTTTCCGCATCTCCGGCAGCAGCGTCGACGACCTTCGCTTCTTGCCACGCTGCTCGCCCCCCCACCTCTTCATCTCCTCCCCCCGCCCCGCCGCCTTCTCTTCCTCTCCCGCCCCACCCCTCGTCCTCCTTCTCCTCCTTGCCTCCAGCGTCCTCGCTCTCGAAGTCGGAGCTCCACATGGGAGAATCGCCGCCGCCGAAAGACGAGGCCCCGATAGACGACGCGGTCCTCAACAGCCTGCGGATCCAGCGCCTGCCAGTGCTCCCCCTCCGGTCTCCGTCCTTTCGCCGCCAGTTGCCGCCGCCGCCGCCGCCGCCACCACCGGCACCGCCATCGTCGTAGTCCCCGTTGCCGCCGTCGCCGCCGCCATCGGCGGCGGTCGACGGGGTGGAGGCGTTCGCCGGCCGGACGTACCGGGGTAGTGCACTCGGAGGCGTGGTGGTGGCCCCCTTCTTGTCGAGCTCCCGTCCGTCGCCGCCACCGACACCGCCGCCGGTGTATGACCAAGACTTGGGATCGATGCCGCCGCCACCGCCGGGCGTTTCCCTCGATGCCGCTCCTGCGCTGCTGCTGCTCCGCGTTACGCGTTTCACTACGGTGGCCGAGGGAGCAACAACAGCGCGGGACTCATCAGCCGGAGCGACCGAAGCCGTCCCGCCACCGCCGCGGTTGGTGGCGTTGCTGGCCGAAGCGGCATCGTCCATGGAATGACTGATGTTGCTCGCGCTCTTCGGGAAGAAAAATCTCCCCAAAGCCGGGTGCGAACCCGCCGCCGCCGCCGCCGCCGCCGGCGTCAGCGTCGTACTCCCAAGAACGTTGTCGTCGTCGTCGTCGTCGTTCTCGGCGTCGCCGCAGCCGTTCAGGGTAGACAAGGACGGGGACGTATGGACGGCAACGGTGTCGTTCTCCAAAACGCCCGCATCGGCAGGGTGTGCAGAGGCGCGGGGTAAACATTGCCCCCGGGGCACAGCGCTCTCAGAGTTTTCTCGCCCCCCGCCGCCGCCGGCGGACGTACCGGGTGCGGCGTAATGGCCGCCGTTTTGAGCGGCGAGGGCAGCTGATTCCGCCGCCGGCCAGGGGTCCATGACCTCTTCGGCGAGCACCTTTGGCGCTTCGGCCTCTCGGCCCACTGGCATCATCGCGTCGAGGTTGAACTCCGTCTGCTTGAACCTGAAAAGAGGTTCACGCGTGCGCCGCGAATACGAACGGAAACGGCAACATGGGTGACATGGTGGGTACGTAGAAAAACGGCCGTGGGGGCTGAAGCGAAGCAAGAGGTGTACTGACAAGACGAACAAAATAAACGGTTCTAATAGGACCAAGCCCGCAGAAACAACGAACGACGTGGCACCGGGCATATCCCCAACTGCAGCCCCCCCTCGCAGCGGCCAAACACTCGCGAACGTAAACGTTAGGGCCCGCTCCTAAGCGCTCATGCTTCCAAATCGCAACCAAGACGATGATTCAAGCAGGAACTTGCACCCAAGCAGCAGCAGCAGCAGCAGCAGCAGCAGCAACAGCTGCAACAGGTGTTTATTGTGCGGGTTACCGTATTCCACTCCACACGCTTCATGCGCACACGCCCTATTCTATTCACCCCCCCCCGCCCGCGAAGTTCGTGGGGCCTCGGAGGTGCCCCCCACCCACGGACCTGAGTCTGTTCATCCAGGACCTTCTGCAGACCGCGCCGCGAAACGCCACCACCACCCGCTGCGTCGAGGGAGAGCCAGAGAGAGAGCGAGCGAGAGAGGGAGAGAGAAAAGCACAGTGGCTCAATGGAAGGAGGGGGGGGGGGAGGGGGCAAGCGAGGCGAACGGCGCCGCTAAAGCACCCCGCACCGAACTAGAAGGCGACATACACACAGGTGCACCGGACCAAACAATAAATAGAGGAATCGCAACCGACGACAACTCTCGTTTGAACAAAAAAGTGCATACCCACAACCACAAATCATAACCCCGGAGGAAAAAACAGCACTGGCTCCAAAACAAAGCTCAAGACCGTAGCGCATGTGGTAGTATCATACGTAGGGACGGACGTACCGCCCTCCTGTCGTCCTTGAGCACGAAGCAGTGCGTGTCGTGCTCGGTGTTGGAGATGTAGCCGAACACCTCGAGACCCACGCGCTCGAAGTCCGCGACGGCTACGTTAGCCTCGTTGTTGGGCTTGCACGGGTCAGGAGGCATTTTGTAGGTTTCCTCTGATACTTCCAGAAGCCTGTAGACGGGGGGGTGGTGGTAGGAAAGAAATGTGTCATACGAGGGGGGGGGGGGGGGATAAACTTCCTCCGTCCCTAACAAAAACCTGTACTAACGTATTTCCAGGGGGCACCCATGTTCTCCGGAAGGGGGGGAGGGGGGGTCTACGCCCCCCACTGGGCCCCCACCCAAACCCC